CTAAAATGAATAGGACCTCATAAGCAAACCACCGCTGATTAGAACCAATGAACAAGTTTACGTACCATCGATATAATGCGATGGTGCCCAGTTGCGTTCTCGCACCCTGGTGCGGCCCTTGTGGCCGCCTTCTCATACTCGTGCCCAAAGCCTTTGAAGCCCACAACAAGCTCTGAATCCTTCACCTCTCGCCGAGTGAACAGACACGTCCTGCCGGCACAATCAATATCAATCTCGAAGGAGCTCGGGTCGCCGGTGGCCCAGCGCAGCAGCTTGCGGAGGTTGTTACGATCGGAGACAACATCAAGGTTGGTGTAATCATAGCTGTTGATGCCCTCGTGCATCTCTTCGATAGCGCGGAATATGGGTGTAAGGGGAGATATTCTACTGCCCATCCGAAAGGAATTCTGGTCAATGAACACTACGCCCGTGTCTTGAGGGACTCGACGTGGATTGGAGTCCATCCATACACCAGGGGACCCTGTATAAGATTCACCACGATCTGCACTGAGTAGCGATACATGGATGGAATACATGGGTACTAACCGGGCACAGCGATGGTTGGGGACGTTTTGTCGAGCCACGAGTAGGACGCTACGCTTTTAACGTCTGTGAGCTTGACGGCATCCGCTCCTCCGTATGTTGTCCTCGAGAGTGTCTTGATGCGATCTCCATCCTTGGAGGTTTTTGCGATGTTCGATATATCACGATCACGGTTGGTGAGAGAGGCACTCATTGTTTTGTGTTTTCTCCTAGTCTGGGACCCGAGTATTTATGGGTCCTTCGCGAATACGCCGGCTGAGGCATATCATCCTAATAGTTTGCTAATGCTGCCTCTACATCGGGTGCCATTGATTTCAGCATCCGACAGAAGTTTCTGATGCAGAGACGCGATTAGCGGAGGACAGTTTGTCAAATCCAAGTTCCAAGAGTATACGCATACATGACACAAGCGCGCATGGTTGGGCTGGCAAGTACATTTCCAAGTATGATGATTCGCGCCAAAAAGACCCTGAGTCAGGGTCCATTTCCGGAATCCCTATGTGCGCATTCAGACACATTATGTACGGCTGCCGTGCTGCACATTATGCAACTTACCTGGAGTCACCTATGTCAGATTTAAGCGAACACTGAGCATATGCTCAGTGACATTCGCGTGTCGCTCATTGTTGAGCGCAGAACTATCAGTAAGGGTAGTTATACATCGAGGGTGCTGACATGCAGAGAGGTGGAAGAAGAAAATATTGATGTCCGTATTACGGCCCGCAGATGTGCCTCAGATCATTCGATTAATATTGCCGATTTACAGGTCCACTGTCTTTCAGTGGCCCCCGCGATGCGGCAGCCACATTAATATTGCATTTCATCCCTAGTTGCTCATGGCCTCAGCTTCCACCGAACAAATAATTGGCTGGTGAAGGCTCTCTGCCCTTCAAGAGATTGATTCAAGGCGGCAACAATCAGGGTCAGAATGCTTGGGGCTCATCGTCTGACCAGCACTCTTTCTCATGATCTGCGCTCATCGTCTGACTAGCCATTTCTTATGATCTACGCTCATCCTATGACTATGTGCAGACTTTCATATGATCTCCCCTCATCATTTGACTATGCGCGCTCCATCTCGTGGTTAGAGCCTTCTTCGCCGCTGGATAGTGGCTACACACACACGCTCCCCCGAAGAACGTGTCACCTGGTCCTAAAGTAACTTGTCAGGACATCTTTACGGTACCAAATCTCGAACTGTATGCCTCCGATGGGCAGATGACTGCTTGAACGTGCGGACTGATTGAACTCCGTAGCACCTACGCCCAAACGAGGCGAGGGCATCTCGAACTTCCATAACGGAGGAAATGAAGAAGTGCAAGGTTTAAGAACACCTGTTATGAACTTGTAAACGCAGATAACGGATGCACGCATGCATACACATATTATCTAACGGGTTTAGGTGCTGTAGATAAATGGAGTCGACTTGAGAATGCTACTGATCGATCGCAAATTGAATAGATCACTGCAGATTCTTAGGTCTCGAGAGGCCTAGCCCGGGTTAAACATGCTGCCCAGGATCGTCCGACGTCGACCCTGTCGCTCTCGCCATCCTCAACTTCAATGGAGTATGCCTTCATCATCAGAAATATTCCTACAATTTACCCTCTAATGCGGCTATAATTCAGTATACATTCACCAAATGCCGAGATCTATCTGGCTGACTGAGCTCTTAAATCGGCTTGTATTAGCTGCGTTTCGGACCTGTTCGTCGATATCCGCGGCCCCCAGAATCTGGTGGATTATTCTTCAATGAAGTAATTCACCACTTGACAAGTCGAGCGCTCGATATCCGGGACAAAATTGGGCAGTTCTTAAGGTAAATTCCGGCAGGCCGTTTTGACACTGCTACCGAGGATGAGATGTTGCAAGGATGGCATATTGGTCTCTGCAAATGTTGACTCCGCACGAGCCGCTGCATGATCTGACCATCCTCCTAGCGGCCGACGAATCAATGACGATGTGTGGGTGGATAGAACGATGGCATCGAGAGTATAGGAATAACCCTCAAAGTCCGTGATAAGAAACGGAGCGTAGGGCGCACTACTGGCTCTGATTCGTCTGGTTGATAGAACTCCTGCTCATGTAATTCTAGATGATTCAATTGAACCGTGAAACCCCCTGATGTGAGACCCATAAGGGCAGCACGGAATAATACATATTCCTCTCGGCTATCAACACACAGAACGCACAGTCGGTCAATTTGAAAGCTGTCACCGACGCAAAAGCAGGTAGGCAGGAATGCATTATTGTTGAGATGAGGATCCTATTAAGGTGTGCCGATGTTCGAAGGGGAATCCTGAGCGGGAAAAGTTGCCCTGGAGCCACAATGGATTTAGAGTTCACTGCGTTCAAGCCAATCGAGCTGAGAATGGCTGGCCTGCGCGAGAACAGTTCAAGGAGCATAGATAGGGGTCTTCCGGGTACCAAATCAATGAGCAGTTGTTGGCAATGTCCAATATGCTCGCTGATCGCGGAAAGGTAGTCGAATGCGTGCTCTGTGCTATGAAGAGCTCGAAAAATGGGAGATGCTGGTGGTAAGTTGGGAACACAAGAGCGACTCCACGGTCACGCATCCAATTTGAATTGGCGCCCATGACTTCGTTGTTGCATCCTGTAACCTGTTTCCTCCAAGTACCAACCCATTACCGCCACCACTCACCTACATTCCTTTATTTTCTCTTCAATGGCGCCATTGAAAAACGACGAAGAAGACGGATCCGTCGCAGTCGCTTTTTTCTATGGCTTTATGGCAGTCATAGCGGTAGCATTGGCGTACGTGTGTGCCCTCGGAGTATGGTCCGTAGTGAATGGCGACCTGGCAGGGTGGGCGGTGAGACATTACACGCCTCATTATACGTGGCATACCCACTCACAGAAACCCAAAGGATCGCGCATTGACAATGCACCTCGCCTCCGAGCCCCCAATGCGTGGAAGGAGGGCCGTGGTGTCCAGAGAAGAGGACGACATTGTCGTCCAAGGTATCGCGGAGCAAGCGGCCCTATACGAAAGGGCGCGGCAGATTCTTGCCAATGATGAATACGGCCCACCAGAGCGCGATGAGTTCCTGAGGGGAGTCGTCGCCTCACAACAAACGGCGGTGGGCTCCTTGTTGGCCACGCTTCGAAGCCACAGGAGTGGTACCCCGCGCGGAAACACCAATGCCAATGTGTAGGCTGTCTGTGAGTCATCTGAATTCGTTTATGAATTAGACTGATCAGATTTCCCATTTGCAGCCACAAATAGCAAAACCGAACAGTCCAGCAGGACATCTCTTCCCTTCAACGCCCCCGCTTACATCGTATTTTCTCCTTCTTCTTGGACTCTTGACCATGTCTTGCTCTGCCTAACATGCTGTCTTTTCCTTTCATATACATATTCGCTCTCCATCCTAGACCCATCGCTGTCCTCCCGCTCTCGTCTTATATGTTTTGTCTGCCATCTATCGCAATCTGTCATGAACGCTCCTGAATTGATTCTATATCAGTAGCATTGCTGCCTGAGTTCAGCTCCTGGTGCTTAGGAATAGCGTAGATGAGAAGGTGAATTGACAAACCACACAGCTTATCAGGAATCGGAGAGCCTCATATACATGACACGAAGCGGAACTTGCCATGATCCCATCTACACAATCGGATTCCCTTTGCCGTTGCCGATCGGCGATTTGCTGTTATACATCAGCCTGCACGGCGAGGCTGCTCGAAAAGAAGGTCTAGTCTTGGCGGCGCCGCAAAGTCTGCGAAAACGGTGACGTTCCGCGATCGGTCCGTAGTCGGTGAGTCCTTCCTCAACAATGTTTTCTCTTCTTACCGCTCATCGAAAGCAGTCGCAGACCACGTTCTTCCAATTGTCACTCTCAGTGCCCATACAAATTATTCACATCCTCAAGTGAAGCTCTACTCATCTGTGGCAGACTTTCCAAGCGGGCATTCGAGCAAGTGCGACGTATGATGTTACACAAGATGGTCGCTCTAAGCGAACATGCGGACGTCAGGCTATCCACGCGGACTCAGCGGAACTCTGCTGTCGTCGAAGGACTGATTTTCCCGGATGGGCAACGATCTTTCGCGTCTGTACACCACTGGAATTCTGATTTGGCTACCTCTGGTCATCGGCTGGAATGTTCTCGACGGTGACGCAGCCGCATGCAGCAGTTCTTGGCTCTGTGTGCTGCGTGCTGTTACGTCCCTTCAGGGTCTATAAGGGATATTGCGAATATGGTGGTTCTTTCAATGCCAGGCAACGGTGCAAGACGCTTGATCATGATCTTGGATGCTAGTGGGCTCTTGCCCTTCTTACTATGATACTGGCATATCGACGCTGTCGGGATAACCCGCCAGCATTTTATTCAAAACCCCTCTTCATTGCACGATTTTGCGCCGTAGCACCGAGGAGCAAGTTGAGCCAAGGATTGACCATGGATGCTGGCGAAGTCGCGGTCTACCGTATAAGACGAGACTCGATGGCGCAGTGGTAAGCGTTTCAGGCTCTTTTGAACTGAAGACTCCTGTTCGATTCAGGATCGAGTCGTATCATTGGTCAAAACTTTTGCTGGGTGTGGCCGAATTCTCTAGCGCCAACAGCTGACTCCTTCGATCTCGTACACGTGTAGTAAGCGCAGAGCAAGCGTCAACGGCTGACGTCTACTATTCCACTACGCGCTTTTTACTGGCAATGAAACATCTAACAACCGTGATTTCATGCTGCATTTCACCGGCACATCACATCGAAGTTTCTCCCCGGTGTCCGCGCCGTCACGCCGTCGCGAACTCTGTGCCTCATGCCAAACTATATGCAAGTTTATCCCCACGCAAAGGCTCTTTCGTGCCACGCCTGCACTGCCTTGTGCGAGGATTTTGCCTTCGTCGCCGATCATTACGCGGCACAACGATTAATATCCAGCTCCTGAGGCTCCTCCGGAAGGACTCATTTCTGCAAGGACCATGTTATCGCTGTCCAACGTGATTGCTACGGCAGAATCGGAAATGGTACTTCGTGCTTAAAGTAACTCGCATACTATCCCATATTTCCAGGTACCTTGCCGCCCCGTCAGACACAGAGCTCACACCCCAAAATCTAGGCTGCAGATCTCCCGAATGCCATCTCGCGTCTCTCGCGTGTGCAGCACGTAACGCAGTGGCCTCGCTCGCCAGCTCAATCACGCGTGGATCACGCCTCTACTACAGGTTTCATTGTCTGTACCTGCGTTTTAGAGAATCACATGCTAGAGTCCTCAGTCCTGTATCCCCGTGTCTGGAACCGCGAGTTTATTCCCCCCCAAGACCTGGCCTCGCAGATCCCCAACCCCATCCTGTGCTCTCGCCATGTGCAAATGGGGCATCTACTTTTCATTTCCGCAGCCGCAATAAGATAAGATAAGTTGCTGCATCCTTCTGGGGGTCCTCTCGGTCTCGATTGTCTTCGCGAAGTCGGTGGAGCACTTTCTGGGGCCTTCTGGAGCCCGGTCATGGATCATCTAGAATCGCCTGCTATGATGGCGAGAACATCCATATCCTTTATGAGATGCCCCAGACAAGCAGACGGGGAGTTCCTGTCCGCCTGTGCTGTGTACGGATAGCATGCCAGCCCCATGCATCTCGCCTGGCCGCTGTGACTCCCCCATACATCCGCGCCGTCTGTGCGCGCGGTCGCGATGCGCTCCAGCCGCTGTCGAGGTGGAGCAAGTATACTGTCTACCTGTCCGCGCACGCCACCGTGGCCCGTGATCAGTGCTTCTCGATGTCACGATGCTGCAATGGCGCCGTAGAGCAACAAGGCATTGACCTGATAGTGTAGTGGCGAGCACGTCTCACTTGACTATCGCCTCATTGGGGCGATTACCGAGAAAGCTCCTGTTCGATTCGGGATCGGGTCTCGTTATTCTGGTGCTTTCATGAAGCCGGCCATGGAACTGCCAGAATAAATTATTTTATGCTTCCCCCAGGCGTGATAGCAGACCGGTGTACCCTTGCAATTACAACTGGGTGCTGGGTGTTGATCGCACACGGAAGCTAATTAGCTATTGATATTGACCTGATGGCGCAGTGGCAAGCGCGTCTGTCGATGCTGACAGAAGGCTCCTGTTCGATTCAGGATCGGGTCGTGTCCCAGGACCAAGTGCGAATCCGCTTTTGCATTTTTATCTACATATGCGTACTTGTCCGAGTAAGTTTAGCTTGTAATGCATCATTCCGATATCGATGGTGCGATGGTGCGATGGTGCGTTGCCACGTGAACACTAATCAGCTATCGACCGGATGGCGCAGTGGCAAGCGCGTCTGTCGCTACTGACAGAAGGCTCCTGTTCGATTCGGGATCGGGTCGTTCCTGGGCTACGAATATGTTTTTTTACATCTTGTGTCTTCTTGCGTGTCGCATGTCGCATCTGGCATCTTTATCTATGTGGCTGTCGAACATGAAAGATGATCTCGATGATAATGTTGCGATGCTGCAATGACGCCTTGACACGGGGCGTTAATTTGTTAGACCCGATGGTGTAGTGGCTAGCACGTCTGCCTTAAGTAATAGCAGAAGGCTCCTGTTCGATTCAGGATCGGGTCGTTCCTGGGCTACGAATATGTTTTTACTTCTTGCGTCTTCTTGCGTGTCGCGTGGTGCATCTTTATCTATGTGGCTGTCGAACATGAAAGATCTCGATGATAATGCTGCGATGCTGCAATGTCGCCTTGACACGGGGGGTTAATTTGTTCGACCCGATGGTGCAGTGGCTAGCACGTCTGCCTTGATTATAGCAGAAGGCTCCCGTTCGATTCGGGATCGGGTCTCTTTATTCCGGCTGGTGTCGAACATGCTGGCCGGAATAAAATTTCTCCTTCCTTCAAGTGTAATAATAGCAGGTAAATCTCGGCTAAGTCAATATGAGGTATGTTCGACTGTGCGGCGTGCGCGCACGACTCGGGATAATTGAAGTTGAATCCGCGTTGCTCTGTTTTGTGCACGCGGGTGGCGGTCAGCTGACTTCAGGATGTGCCTGTCGGCGATCATTCCAGGCACGACGCGGAAGCCAATTAGCCATTGACCTGATGGTGTAGTGGCGAACACATCTCGTGTGAACGAGAAGGCTCCTGTTCGATTCAGGATCGGGTCGTGTCACCAAGCATGAATAGTAATACACTTTGCATTTTTACTTATCTATGTACCTGCCCGAGTAAGT